TTTCTATTTAGAATCTTTTGTTCTTATATTTTATTATGTGTAATAATAGAATACAATAAAAAATTAATGATAATCACAATTGATTAAACACAATTACAAACATATTATTATACTAAAAGTTACTGTTTTTTTACTCACCTGTTACATTAGTCAAAAGACGAATGAATGAAGCTACCGTTCTACTTAAAACCTGTACTGCCGGATAAACCCGCATCTTTGGAATTTTATTTTTCCTTATATGACCGTCATGGAGCTTTGGCATCTGTTTTCTAATATTTAAAGTTTTCGAGTCAATATCATACGCCAATTCCACGCTCTTCCAAGAAGCAAAACATCGAAAATTATTTTTTTCCGTTTCGGATGAATTGCACTTCTGATGAATTTCTGATATGAAATCTGGTGTCAGAAGAAATGATTTGACAGTATTGAAGTCAGGATAGAGTTTTCTAAAATTATTTGGGAAAATAACTTCAATATCCTTGGTTAGAAGATTCCGAATTCCTTTTATAAGGTGTGGAGGATCATATAAAGGTATAATATTCTGTCCTGAAAGTTCAATTCTTCCAGCTGAAAAAGAAAGGCCTTTATAATAAAATAGATAAAAAACAAGAGATAATTATTAATATAATATGAAGTAGGAAAATTGTAAACTCACTAAAAACTTTATTATTTCGTGAACATGCTGCTCTTGTTTCGTTTAACAAGCCATTTATACAAGAAGCATTAGTTTGACCTTGATCACAAACCGTAGCAAGAAGCTTGAATCCTGCGTTTGATATTGCTCTTACAACTTCCTTAACACAGCGCATTAACTGAGGTCCTTTAGTGCTTCCTTTGCAGAAATTATATGTTAAAGGAATTTTCCAGCTTGTATTTATACCTCTTAACATAAATACAAGAGCATGATCTGCAAAATTCGAAGTTCTGGCATTACCCCAATCTTCAAAACCAACTATTTTATCCTCCCTTGTATCATAGTAGATTTGAGGATCCAACGAAACTTCGTCCCATACTAAAAAAACACACTTTATCTTCTTCAGTCATGGTTTTTCCCTGTTCCTTTAAGTGCTCAAAGATAATTTTATTCACTCCAGGCTTCAACTCAATTCTGTGTAAAAATGTCTGCAATGAACGTGGTGTTGGTAAAATAAAAATTCTACTCAAAAGACGATAACATTGCGGTGATTGCTTATAAATGGCTAAGGCTAAAATCTTGTCGTCGCGTGTAAACCGTCTAGCCTATTGTAAATAATGTGAATTGTATAACATGTAAATTATTATTTAACTTTTAATCAAACATGCAAGATCTCATTTAATCATTAATTTAATTAATTTAATCATTGATCATTTTATAATGATCTTTGAAATTAATTGAATAAGATAAAAACAATTATAATAAATAATGATAAACTATAATTTTTCGGTTATGTTAATTCAGGGTGTCTAACAAGGATTGAGAAAAACATTCCCTGACATTTTTCTAATTTTATTTTTGCTTTCTTGGGCCAAAAATATGGTAACTGACATATTTAACAATAAATTAGTATCTAATGATAGAAATAAATGTTAATAAAAATTTTTGAAGTTTTGTTAGATTAAACAAATTTTTAATTATCAAAAAATTTTGATTTTTTTATAAATTTATAGAAAATTCCCTGACTTTTCCATGACTTCCCTGACCGTCAGACACCCTGTAATTAAAATTAATGAAATATGCATGACGGGAGACAACTGGTACCTGCCTTAGCTTTTTTATGAGCGTTTCTAATTTGGCTTTCCATGAATTGAAATTGTTCTCTGGTAAGTTTCTGTATCTGCTTCATCTCCGACGATACCATGTACTGTTCAGCACTCTTTACTCTTTTTTTCAAAGTTCCTAACGAATGTATGTACTTAGTCTGTTTTTTTAATAAATTGGAAGCGATTCCATGGAGACGCTTTGCCATTGGTGTTAATTTATTTGTTCGAGTGACGTTTCCGAGAAGTTTTCTTGTAGACTTTGGTGTCGAATAAGCACTTTTTCGGTCAATAGAAATAGGCGACTTTCTAGTGGTTTTTGGTGTCATTGGAGTAATATTTTCCTTGCACGCTTTATCATTTGTTTCTAATGAAGCACTGTTGGATGTAATTTCATTAGGCGAAACTTCAGAAAGATCCTCATTATTATTCAATAGATTCCACCCAGGAATACTATTTTTTTGTAGCGCTTCAATTTCTATTTCTCCATTTTGAATATCACGCATACAGTGACGAACAGTGTCTACTATTTCCTTTCTATTAATTTCATTTCTATCCTCAATAAATGTCGCAGGATTATAGATTTTTTCTGGACCAATGTCACTCCAGCTTGGCATACCCTCTAACTGAAAATTATCATTAACAGCATTGTAATGTGCACATTCCTCCGTCACTTCAATATCTATTGATGTAGCCCTGCCACTTTCAGATTCGGCAATATTATTTGCTACAGAACAGCGATCTATTAACAATTTTGAAATAGCATCATCCTTTAACATTCGACGAACTCTCGTAACTTTATAAGCATCATCTGGGAAATGGACTTGGCAAACTCTATATTGGCGCAACTGATTGCAAGTGAGACCATTTAAAGCTGGATTTTGTAAAACTTTTAGCCATTCGTCACATCTTGCAACGTCTTTTGGAAAACTATGCCTCAATACCTGGCTGTTAGTACTACACCCTGGTACAACACATCGCCATTTCACTTTTTCATCTCTCTCTTCAACACCTACAATATAAAAGTAACATGAGATTAATAAAATGCCATTTTATTAGGACGAGTAACATTCAAACAATATTTTCCATAAAATTGATAATTTATACATTAATTTATTTAATATTTAAATATTGTTTATTAGTTTCAATATAATTTTATTAGGATGTTAATTATTTTATTTTTATATTGCAATGATATTATTACAATTTTCTAAATTTTTAAAATTTCTGTCTAATAAAATATTTATTTATGTTTTACTCTAACCTTCATTTGATTTTCAAGCATTTTATTATTTTAACTTATTAAATTTGGCGAATTACATCTCTAATAAGTGTAAATCACATTATTTACAAACTGAGAAATTTTTGTCGATGAAAAAATTAATAATATATAATTATTCCAGTGTGCACTTTTGAGGTTATGTACAAACATTTTCAATTTCTATACTTATCATTATATACTTCTATTATTATAAAACTAAAAACAAACAGTTCTTATTTAATACTAAAATACAGAACTAAATCAGGCTAAAATAAAAAAGGTTGTAAAAAGTAGCTACAATTAAATTATGCAAAATACCAAATAATTGTTCGCACCTAGAATAGGTATTACTTACCGGAATCAATGCTCTCAAATCCTTTACTTTTTCGAACTTTCATTTTAAGCACTTTAAACCGATCCACAGAAACTTTCGATTTTTTATATTTTTGCAATTGTTTATTCTTTTGTATTTATAAATGATTTAAAAAGTTCAAAAGTACTTATTCCACAACTTGGAAAAGTCACAAGTTCAAAACCGAAAATGTAAACACAGATACTAGTGACATCTAAGCTATGAAAGACGACTATAAGAACTGCAAATACTGTTTTAACTTCCACGGCAATAGTTTCGCCGCTCTGGTTGGAATCAAGGAGGAGCTAGCATCTGGCCCATCATCAAGATTTATTTTTTTTGTTGTGTGATTTTTAGTTTCAGTGGAGCTGGAGGAACTGTTCATGTCCAATTCAGGGAGCGATTCTCGATCAAGTCTCTTTCTTTTTTTTAATAATAGGCTTGATCGGGGAAGGAAGAGTCTCACCTTCTAGAGAAGAAATATTACTGTTGATGTTACCAGATAGAATGTCAACATTGTGAAATGGCGAGGAGGCGGCCTGGATGAATTGAGACCGCGGTTCAAGGCTCCGCACGTCAAGCTAGGAGTTCCTTGATTTCCCAGTTCACGAAATTGTTGTTGATTTAGTTGCTCTATTTGAAGATGATCGTTTAGCTGTTGTTCGTTTTTATTCTCCTCAACCTCCAACGGGGGGAGCACCTCGCCAATTTGTTCCTCCTTCCGATTCATGTTAGGCAATTCTGTTAAATTGATTAAATATTAGAAAAACGAATCGACTATGGTAAAGAGTAAATCTACGATTCCCAAACTCCCCTAAATTAAACGCCTCTGTCTCATTCCATGCGTAAATTTAATTAGTTTTAAGTATTAAGAAAGTCAATGCTTAAAAAAGAAAATTAAAATTAGCAGTATTTAGTGCAACTTATATACAGTGAGACGAATAGAATTTTTATTTAGTTAATTTAGAGAACGAAATATGTTAAGTTGAATCAAATAAAATAATAAAATGAATTTAAATAAGATAAATGAAATAAATTCTATTACCATCCAGCGCGACTGGGTTCAGGGTTGCTGGAGCTCTATTTGACGAGAAATAAATAACAAAAGATGCGGACGCCAGTTAATTTTACGAAATTAACAAAACATTGATCATAAAATTTAAAAGTAAAAGCAAAAGATCACAGGGGAGGTAACATTGGGGAACCCTTTATATGAATAAAATAAAAATAAAATCAAGCGACTTCCAGGAATGCAATTTATTTCGATTGAACACTGATCACTCACCTGATTGATCAAATATCGACTCCTTGTCGAGGTTATACAATTCTGTGACAAAATGATTTTAATCCACTCAAGTCCCAAATCCCGTTCGATGAACAATATCCGGAATTTGGTTCCACTCGATCAATTCACACAAAATTAACAAAAGAATATAATTTTCAATATAAAAGAAAAATCACAATACAGGTCTATACGCAACAAGTTTCGATCAAAGAGTGACGCTATCAAATTTTTGATTTTCAGTAATGCGGTCATTAGTCCAAACTTTAGCGCTAGGGTCTATGTCAAGGTCTCAGGGGCGACCTATTTTCTTTTTACCCTTACCATAATCTACAGATACTTGATCAATGCTTTTGGAAGTAATGTAACGAAAACCTTTCCCGTCACATTCTCCCCTTTCAAACGTGAAGTTACTTCAAAAAGTTCTACCAAGATTACCATCGAGCTGAAACAATTCTGATAAAATAATCATTAAAACAAAATATCAATAGATAAAATAAATTAGAGTGATAAGTGTCAATGAATTCAATTAATAACATGCTTATTTATGCAGTTGGTTAAATGCATTTCGTGGAAGTCTCTTAATATTCAGACATTATTGGTAACTTCATTTTATTCTGAACTAAACTATATATCGAAGTTACTGTCAAATCTTTGTCAATTTAATACTGATGTATTTCTTACTATAATAATAGAATACATATGAAAATAGAAACTGTAAGTATAAAATGAAATACAAAATACATATGATCAATCTCGCCGAACTCTAGTTTTTAAATTTTCCGTCGACGTCGATCAACAAGTTCGTCAAATATTATTTATCCTTCTTCTGGAACTCGGTTGGAATGATGATCTTGTATGCCTCGCCATCTGATAGCTCTGGTCTTAGCTTCATTACTTCGTCCAGTGCTAAGTCGGCGAAAGGTTTAAGCAAAGCATCAACGGCCCGTTTCCTCTTTACCTCCGACAGATCCCGAGGAGTTGGTACCAATGAATTAGCCGACTCCTCCACGTAAGACAAGGCATTCTCCCTTATCAAGAAACTCCTGATCTTATTCGCTGAATCGTTAGGGTTTGCAAAGTTAGCCTTGACTCTGCGCCGAAGTTCCTCTTCCGTTGCCTCATTGACCAGGTAGCGATGGTCAGATGGAATAATCCAACTCGGCATCGTTGCATAATTTAATCGAAGCCAATCGACGTAACCAGCAAAACGGATGTTGCAGTCCGGACATTCCGGACAATAGATCGAAAGATCATTGGAACATCCCGTGCAACGACCCAAAGCAAACTCATGCTCAATTCCGTGAGGATAGATGCAATCCTTTGTCTCAAATCCGTCGGCTCCGCAGACACGACAGAATCCAGCCCTCAGAGGAAGACGACACTTGAGGAAGTGATGTTCCTTCGATCTACAATTCACGCAACCCGGTGTACGCTGCTTGGCAAGGACCGAAACGTAAGTTTGAGTGCCACGATCCACCCTTCCGGCCTCCATCTTTTTGATCATTATTTCTGCCCTTTTTTTTATTAAATCTTTTAACAATTTGTCGGACAGAATCCGACAATCAGCCATGTAGACCGGCGCAGGCTGACCATCTTGACTCAACAGTTGCGGAACTCCAAGTTGCTCCAAAACTTCATTGAAAGTTGGGATGTCATCGATCGTATAGGGCAAAGGTTTGACTGTCACCGACGGTGCAACAACAGCCTCAGGGTTATCAATTGATCTCAGAATCTTCCCGTCCTTTGATCTTGCCTCGTCAATATTTGGAATCCTATGTCTTCTGGAATTCTCCATATCGATCTGTTTTTGGGTCATTCTAGGTATTTTGATCAACTTCACAGGATCCGGTTCCCTTGATCGAATTTCATCGATCAATTGTTGAGCCTCTGAGACGACATCATCGTATCCTGATCCTCTAGTCACGGTAGTGCATACTGATGAAGCATCGTCAGCATAACGATCTTTTACCTCAGCATCAGCTTGGCAACCTGCAACTTGCTGATTTAAATCGATCAATAGATCATCGATTTTCCTCCTATATTCCATGAGTTGTTCCAACTTCCCACGGGCTTCAGTTGATCCGATCAAATCAAGACTTTCCGCCATTTTATCCTATTTCGGCAAAGCAAATCAGCCAGACCAGAACTCTCCGTACTATGCAGGAACAATCCCTTGAAGTGATGTTGACGATTTTAGTCGATCTACAAAAAACAACTCATGACAATCGTAGACTTCGACGAGGTATTTTCAAATTAGAAACCGAATATTTGCCAACAACTTTACCAATTTTGTCTGTCAGTTGGACCGTACCCGGACCATAAATTTTCGAAATCAAAACAGGACCCAAGTAACGGTGAGCCAGCTTCGAGGAATAACCTTCAGCCTTATTACTAAGTTTCTTGTTCGGATAATAAACCTCCATACCTACTTTAAGCTCAACTGACATTTCTCGATCAGCATTCGACTTGGCTAGTCGCTTTTCAGAATAACTTTGTAATTTGTTCTCAATTTTATGACGAAATTCGTCAATGATCTTCATACGATCAATCCAAGTCTTTGCAGCGTCGTCGGCAAGTTCGTCAATGCTCACTTCGTTTTCGCTTGATTTAATATCTCGCTTTGCAATAGCCTCACGACCGTGATTCAAAAAAAACGGGGAAACACGAGTACCTGTATGAGGCACAGTGTTACATGCAAATTGTATTTTCGATAGATTCTCATCCCATTCTCTATGATCTTGACCAATGTACGCGGAAATTACCGGCTTTATTGTTCGATTTACCCGCTCGACCGGATTACATTGGGGATGTGCCAACGGGGTAGTAATATGTCTCACGCCTCTGGCCAACAAGTACGCTTTGACATCTTTATTTATAAATTCTTTCCCGTTATCCGTCACAATTGATTCCGGAATTCCCCAACGATCAAAAACTGTGTCCAATACTTTAACCACAATTTTTCCCGTACGATTTCGAACCGCGAATAATTCTACAAATTTAGTATACAGATCATGAACAACGATAATATCCGAATTTCCTTTTTTAGTTCGGGTTTGGGACACGATTGTGTCGATCGATAATTGAGCCCACGGTAGGCGTAAAGATCGCGTAGATAATTTAGCCTTTATGGGATTTTGATTATATTTAACCTTGACACAAACTTCGCAATCTGAAACATAAGATTTGACGTCCTGAGTCATACCTGGCCAATAATAACTTTGATGAATTCGATCAAGAGTTTTATGTTTGCCAAGATGACCTGCATGGGGTAAATCATGATTCTCACGAAGAATTGTCAAAACATCTGAAGGCTTAGCTACTTTCTTCCAAGGGTTCTCATCGTCAATTAACGATTTTTCGAAATCTGGTCGAAAATAATACAATTCATTATCTTTGATCTTCCAATCCTCAAAACGATCTGGGTGATCCCTGACTAAGCCGAATTTGGTTTCGTACCAATTTTGATCACAAATAGAAGCTAATCGAATACGACCTTGTACAGTATCTTCAACAACTTTTTCCCAACCAAACGGATCTACATCTACATCAAACATACGCGAAAGAGCATCTGGTGCCTCATTTAACGTACCCCTACGATGTTCAACAGTCATATCATGCTGATATAAATAGATTGCCCATCTGGCTAGACGACCAACTGGATTTTTGAGTCCATGCAACCATTGCAAAGCCTGGTGATCAGTGATGACGGTAAATGGCATGCCTTCCAAATAACACCTAAGCTTCTCTACTGCCCAAACAACTGCTAGACATTCCTTCTCCGTTGTCGTATAATGAAGTTCCGCACCTCGTAACGGTCGACTTAAAACCTCGATCAAAATTTCATTTTCACCCTTAGGATCTTTTTGAACAAGAATAGCGCCCAACCCAAAATCACTGGCGTCAGTATAAAGAATGAACGGTTGACCTGGTATTGGAACAAAAAGACGAGGAGCATTGATGAGAGCTCTCTTTATTTCCTCGAAAGATTTCTGTTCAACCTCTGTCCACTTCCATGGCACTTTTACACTAGTAAGCTTGTTCAATGGACCTTGTATCCTAGCAACATTCCTAAGATGACGATGGTACCAATTAACGAATCCATTAAATTGGCGTAACTTAGTCCTATCTGTTGGAACCGGAAAATCAATGATCGGTTTTATTTTTTCAGGATTGGGTCTCATTCCCAATTCATCAACAATATATCCGAGAAATTTTACCTCTCGACAAGCAAAACTACTTTTCTCTCTATTGATCAGCAATTTCGCTTCACGAAAAACAATGAAAACAAGAGACAAAATTTCGAGATGATCCTCAAATGTCTCACTAACAATAACCCAATCATCTAGATAAGTAAATACCTGATCGACCCATTTATTTGGTAAATTCCTTTCAACGAGAAGATCACGAAATCGTCTTTTTAAAACATCCATCAATTTTTGAAAAGTTGATGGAGCTCCTGTGAGACCATAAGGCATCCTTGTCCATTCTAACAATCCTTTTCCCTCAACAACAAAAGCAGTGTATTTGCAACTATTTGGAGCCATTGGGATTTGGTGAAAAGCTTCACTCATATCGATCGTAGAAATGAACTTTGCCTGATGTAATTGCGAAAGAATTGATCTCATATTATGCAAGGGATACGCAGGTTTCTTGGTTTTCCGATTCAGGGGTTTATAATTAATACAAAACCTCAATCCACCATTTGCTTTTGGAGCAACAACTGGCGAAAAGGCCCAGTCACTATCACTCCACCTTATATAACCCTTTCCCAACAGACGATCAACTTCCTGCTCTAAATATTTCCTAACGATCTCACTTCGACGATAGGGTTTTTGGCGATGTGGAATAGTATCTTCCAATTCGATCACATGCTCAACTAGATCAGTTAAACCTGTGCTTTCCTTGTCAAATTTTAGGAACTCTTCATCAAGAAAGTCCTTTAACCTTTGTGATTCATCAGTTGAAAGACTCTGAAGAAGATTAAAACCTGAACTACGTTGCGATAATGAATAGGCATGTTTACTACCTTCTAAGGTCCAACTTCTGTCCAAAGGATCGAGTTTAACTTTGAAATTCAACCAAAAGTCCATTCCAAGAATTAAATCATTCGATAACCCAGGCAAGATACTAAACCGCTGAGGTCCATAAACATCCCCTATATCAATCACGAAAGAAGTTCCTCCTTTAGTTTTAACAACCGATCTATCACCCAACCTAACTCCTCCCTTAGAAGTTGTATCAGGGGAAAGATCCTGTAATTGATAACCTTTAACGCGATCATAAGATGTTTCACTTAAAAATGATCTCTCACTACCACTGTCAATAATACCTGATATTTTCTGTCCGAAGATTGAAATTTCTACTGGAACTCTAACAGTTTTCCTAGGTTCTGTGAGCGAATCATTTGGACAATAAATTCGCCTATTTACAAGACGATGAATCGCGTGTGATGGCAATCCTAAAGGTTTCCAAGTCTTCAACAATTCATGATCAATTTTCTTTTTAGAAATAATCTCTACCGAATCATCACTACTAATTGTCGTTAAACTAACGAGATTTTCTATCTCTTTTTCTACTTCCTCGCAAACAAGATCATGAAACTCATCTTCCGAATCTGAAGAACAAAACGAATCATTGAAAAATAGACTAAGTCTCACTGACTCTTGAGGCGGGGATTCAAGGTGGGAAACAGTCAATTCCAAATCTCTAATCTGCTCTACATTCGACGAAAAAGGACAAGTTTTATCCAAATCCTTGGTTTGACCTATGTTGGATGAAGAATCGAGTTTTTCTTTTTCCTCAGATCTGCCCTTTGTTTCAATAAGTGGAGGATTAATTACTGAGGGCACTTCTCGTTTTCCTGCTTATTAGTACAATTAGTGTTAGTGTGTCCTACTTGACGACAGAGACAACAAACAAGTTGCGCTTTTGATTTGCAATAGGGAACCGTGTGACCGTTTTGACCACAATTTTGACAAAAGAATTTCCTTTTATCAAAAGACTTCGACGAATCCCTATCAGCCGTATTGTTCTGTGAAGATTCCTGATTAGTTACCGTTTTTGATTGATTATTAGATTTTTCAAAATCTTTAAGATTTTGATTCAATCTTTGCTTGTTGAACGATTGATTATTTCGAGATTTGGATCCGTTCCTAAAACGATTTGACTCACGATTCTGAATCGTGTTCAAACTAACTTCCTGATCAGAATCAGAATGATTCCCTGAAGTATCTGACTGAACATCATCTAACTGGTCATCATCTGAGTCAACCTGATCTTTTACTACACATAAATCTGTTCTAGGCTTTGATCTTGATTTTTGAATGTCAGCTGAACGACTAAAGATGTAATTACGTTCATTGACATAATGTAAAAATTCACGATAATTCTTTAAAGGCAAGTTCAATATTTCAAATGTTAACCGAGGGTTAAATTTAGACAAAATTTGTTTAAGTTGTTCTCTAAATCCTGGAGGGTATTGCATTCTTTCAAATACTAATCGGGCTCTACATGCGAATTCTGCCAAACTTTCCGCTCTATCTACTTTTAGATCACGAACTTCGAGAAGAAGATCGGCGTCATCCTTTTTAACGCCCCACTCAAAGCGGAATGCACGCGCGAAATCTTTCCATGAACGCCAATTGCTTTTGTTAACTAAATACCAAGATCTATATGGTCCCTCGAATATTTTTGAAAGACATGGAACAAATAAATTTTTATCTATACCACTCGTACTTAGATAGTCCTTAAGAATGAGAAGAAATTGTTCTGGATCTTTTTCTGATCTAGGGAAGGATATTTTCCAAGAATTTACTATTCGACCGATCTGGATAGAACTTGAATTCTCCGCAGAAGCTGAATAATACGAAGGAATTAATCTATTCTGTGATCTATTCGAAGAATAACCCCTAAATCTATTTTGATCCATGGACATTAAATAATTTTGCCCAACTTGTTCATCCTCACTAGAATCACTATCATTCCATGAAAATAATGAACCCGTTCTACGAATACCTGATCTTGAGATGTCAGGATCAGGAACGCTAAGATCATTACGTGAAAAACCCAAATCACGATTCACGTTACTATTATTATTAACTTGATTGACGCTATGTCGTGAGGGATCGATCATCCGACGATACTGATCCTCAGTTACGAAAATCTCTTCGTCGATCAAAGTTCCGTCTGCCAATGGCTTCGCGACCATTACCTTGATTAAACGAGGGGTAGGGTTTTCAACATTCGGTTCTGAATTCGGACGCGTGTTCTCAGCGCCCCCTATTTCGTTATTAATAGATCGATAATTTTCATTCAAAGACCCAGGAACAGCATCAAAACGCACGTGTCTTGAATCGTTTCCGCTTTGATCGACTCGTCGAACCGAATTTAAATCACCGCGATTTTGAACTAATTGTTCAGTTTGTTTATTATTAACCGAAGATCGAGGGTCAACTGGCGGTTGATTATTTTGACGCGAATTAAAACCGAGTAATTCTTCGTCGGACGAAGAAAACTGTTCTCTCATTCGCGCTTCTCCCCTTTCAGAACGTAAGTTACCCCGAGAGCTTACTACATTCAGAACCTGGTCGCATTTAATTGACAATGTACGCACTGCCCCTTCCAACGCATCTATTCGACGTTGCATTGCGGATGAAATGTAAGGAGGGGGGGTACCGAATTTACTATATCCCCTTCCAACCCCAGATCCCATCGCGAAACCGTGAAGACTTCCGGTACTATTACGCGATAAGGTTCTCAAATTTTCCGCGTTTGGATCTATACTTCCCGCATTCGGATCTGTTAAATCTCCCGCATTCGGCAAAGTCGAACCATTTTGCGTTTCTAAACCATTCTGCTCATTTCGATCCGGCTGATCTCCGCCTCCAACTAACACGGTTGAATTTAAATGATCAGAAACATTACCCGGTATATTTCCGGTAGTGTTACCCGATGTATTTCCGGCAGTGTTAGGATCAGTTGTTTGTCTTTCAACATGTCTCAGTTGATTTTTATTTGGTTGTCGTTTTGGAGGGGAAATGAACATTGACGTCATCGCGAACGAAGAAGAAAATAAAATAAATAAACAAAAAAAAAAAATTTTATTAATAATAGTCAAGAAAGGGAAAAAAAAAAAAAATTCTTTATTTATTTTAACGTCAAGCCAAGTCGAAATTGTCTAAATAATATTAAAATAATTTTAAATAAATAAATTAATCAATGATCAATAATATCAATAATAATTAACTATTACCGATCATTAACAATCAATAATTATAGCCAACAATCAAACAATAAATTAATAATTTAATTAATCATAAAACCTGTAAATAAAACTTAAATTAACAAATTGACACAATTTTTTAAATAATAGGTACGACTATATTTTGTCGTTATAGAAGGATCACTATCCGAACAAAATATTCACCCAATATAATACTGACAACACTTATTTACATATAAAAAATCAAAATGCTGTCAAATAATTGATCTCGTTAACGAGATTTCAAATATTCTGACTCGAGACAAGATCACAAAATAATTTTAGTTATTTGAACAATCAGTTGTTCACTATTGTCGATTATTAGAGAGAAAAAAAATCAATATTTTTAAGTTAAAATTTTCTTTAGACAACCGATTAGTTCAAAAAAGAAAAAAAAATTCTCATGACGGCTGAGCAAGATCATACCGTCAGGCAAATCACAAAATAAATTTCCTAATTTGCTTTTCTTTTTAAAAAAAATACTCTATTTCAGCAAAATTACTAACGACAAGAGCAAGATCTTGTAACACTAGAAAAAAAAAAATAAAGAAAACAACTTTATAATCGATCAAATATTTTGTTAACAAGAGCGAGATCTTGTATCAACAAAACTGAAAAAAAAAATTTTTACTTTAATAAATTAATTTTTCTTTATAAAAACAAAAAATCAACCCAACAGCAGAGCAAGATCTAACTGTCAAGAAAAAATCCTCCTTTATTCTTCTTTGCAAAATAATTATTAATCAAATAAAATCCTATAATAGTTCGCAAAAAGAAAAAGAAATCACAACAAAAATTAATCGCTTTAACGACAAGAGCAAGATCTTGGATCATTAAAACAAAATTCAATAATAAAAAAATCACAATAGATTTATCTACTTTAACGACAAGAGCAAGATCTTGTATCATTAAATCAAAATTCAATGCAAAGAAAATTTCAAATCGTTGCGAACATGCCTCGAGCCATCGTCAACTTGATCAATATTGCATTAAAAAAAATTCACAATAAAATTCTATCAAAAAAAATTTTAATTGGTGAATAACTATTTCCGTCAACAAGAGCAAGATCTTGTATTGACAAAATTCAATAATTTGCGGTACATAAAAGTCCCAAAAGCCGACTCATCGCCACCGAAATTAAAATGAAAAACAAAACTTTAAGCGAATTTTATCGCTAACACTAAATGTATTTCCCGACAGAGCGAGATCTTGTCAAGAAAATAAAATATGACTCTTTAATCTATTCTTTAAAATTAATTAAAATTCAATGTTCAACCGACAAGTATTCATTAAAATTTTACAAGAAGAAAAAGAAAAACAATAATCCATTTCAATTGTTTATCAAAATCAAAATTTACAGACTCACAAAAAAAAAAATTTTTTTTCTCTTTTTCCGTTTAATTCCAACTGTCAGACAATTTTCAAAATTTCCTTCAATTTTCCTTTTCTTTGCAACAAAAATTCGTCAGATACACACAAAATTTTCAACAACAAAAAAAATCATATAATTAATTTCAAATTATCGTCGACAAAAAATAATATTAAAATAAAATCGTCGAAATTCCCAGTGTCGCTTTTCAAGCAAGTTTGGACATGAGTTTCTCACAAGGTTATGCACACAATAGAATGTAAACAAACAATTAACACTTCGCATCAAACTTACTGTTCAAACGCTTGATAATTTACAATTTTCAAAATTATAGTCAATCAAAATTTCAAAATCTCTAATTTTCACTCGAAATATTTAAAATTATTGGCAAATTTACAACAAAATATCCAACGTGCCCCACGTTGGGCGCCAAATGAGACGAATAGAATTTTTATTTAGTTAATTTAGAGAACGAAATATGTTAAGTTGAATCAAATAAAATAATAAAATGAATTTAAATAAGATAAATGAAATAAATTCTATTACCATCCAGCGCGACTGGGTTCAGGGTTGCTGGAGCTCTATTTGACGAGAAATAAATAACAAAAGATGCGGACGCCAGTTAATTTTACGAAATTAACAAAACATTGATCATAAAATTTAAAAGTAAAAGCAAAAGATCACAGGGGAGGTAACATTGGGGAACCCTTTATATGAATAAAATAAAAATAAAATCAAGCGACTTCCAGGAATGCAATTTATTTCGATTGAACACTGATCACTCACCTGATTGATCAAATATCGACTCCTTGTCGAGGTTATACAATTCTGTGACAAAATGATTTTAATCCACTCAAGTCCCAAATCCCGTTCGATGAACAATATCCGGAATTTGGTTCCACTCGATCAATTCACACAAAATTAACAAAAGAATATAATTTTCAATATAAAAGAAAAATCACAATACAGGTCTATACGCAACAAGTTTCGATCAAAGAGTGACGCTATCAAATTTTTGATTTTCAGTAATGCGGTCATTAGTCCAAACTTTAGCGCTAGGGTCTATGTCAAGGTCTCAGGGGCGACCTATTTTCTTTTTACCCTTACCATAATCTACAGATACTTGATCAATGCTTTTGGAAGTAATGTAACGAAAACCTTTCCCGTCACAACAGAAAATAAATTACTCTGACTGATTGCTTCGGTAAGTTTGAGGTTAAGTTCCTCCACGTGTTCTATAAGCAAAAAAAAATTTATAATTAAGGACACACAGGTCAAGCAAAGTTCACTCAATAAGGACAAACACAAGCATAAATTGAAATATCATAGAGTAGTGCAATTTAGGAAGCATAAAAGGTGAGAAGGAGAGTGGAGGATACCAAGCTCAAGTCTTGTTTTCATAACAATTTGAATTCACTTTTATCGATTTTAATCCTCTCACCTTCTTACCGTGTAAGTAAGAAAAGATTTGATGGTGGTCCTGGAATAAAAAGCATCTTGAGAAAAAGATAAAAATATGATTTATCTTTGGCGTGATTTCAGGCATTCATTGGTCCCCTACCTTCAGGATTTCTACGAGTGGATGATGTTAATACCTTGGCCCAACAAGAAGCTGCTGATCGACAAGCGGCTTTAGCCCTACATCAAGCCCAGATGAGAAATATGCCAATGCAAGCTAACGATCCACGTGTAGGAAGACTTAGCATTACAATAACTCAGGTACAATTTTTTTTTCTGCACATCGGATGCAAAATCAATAAAAAAACAATTCAATTTCTCGAGGATTTCATTTATTACATGTCAAATTAAGTAGAAATAAAGAAATTGAAATAAACACGAATTTTCTTACAATAGACTATACAGTACGTAAGTATACCTACATAACATCTGCTACTAAATCAAAAATTTCATCAAGATTCTTAAATTAATATAAATCGTTGCTTAGTATTTGATTCGATAATGTAACACTTTGTATTGTAACAAATATTCAACTATGTTGAGGATTTTTTTCCTTTAACGAATATAACCGCCTTCAAATTTTTAAAGTTCAAAATTCGTATCAGTGGACTTCTTAAGGAAAAACGTCCAGATATTCTGAATGCAAAAGTATTTAAAACCATTTCGAGTTTCTTTCGGTGGACAATATCAGAAGTCACATCTATTCGATCAGTTTCGATTTGTAGAATGTTCACAGAACATTGCATTACTGTTGGGGAAAATGTTTACAAATCGAAGGAACGTTTTCTGTGCGAACATATACTATTAGCGTCATTTTTTAGGCTTCTTAATACAAATTTTATTCGATGTCCATGAAGGTTTAGAAGTTTGTTTGGAAACCATTTGGTCCGAGCTGATACTTTATTAGCCGTGTAAGTTTTTGCAAAATGATTGATGTCATGCAAAATGGACAGTCTACCTGCTCCCAATGTTTCATTTTCTCTCAAATACTCAAAAATTGCAATGTTAAATGTCGGGGTTGTTGACAAGGAATGTTCTAAAGTGTAATTTAAAGAATGAAGTAATAATCGTTATTAGATGTAACTGTTAATTTCAAAAATATTTTTAAATTATGAAATTTGAATTAATTTTATATTATTTTATAGGCGAAACTAGTTAAAAACTATGGAATGACCAGAATGGATCCGTATGTAAGGTTGCGTGTTGGACATGCAGTTTATGAAACACATACGGCGATTAATGGAGGCAAAAATCCACATTGGAATAAAGTTATACAATGGTATTTAATGTTTTTCGTAATTAAAAATAGTCATATTGCAGCTTAAACCACTATTAAATTCAGTTAAATTCTATTAAGAAAAATTCTGCTCATAGCCATTTACTCGACGTTTTTCGTTCATACAATTGTTATTGAAGAACAAATGCCAGATAATTCCTTCCTGGTACTTTTACCAATCAGTTATCAAACTCTTACTTCTAGTGATAATTTTCTTTCAGTTTACTTCCACCCGGTATTACTCAAATTTATGTAGAGATATATGACGAGTGTTCGTTTACGATGGATGAATTGATCGCCTGGGGACATATAGATATTCCCTCGCAAGTCATTCAGAGGGGAGAGACTTATGAGGATTGGTACTTACTGAGTGGTAAGCAGGGTGATCATCAAGAAGGTTCGATAAATCTGGTCCTTAGTTATACTGTAAGTCAATTTCTCGTACAGCGAATTATTTTCCATTTGTCGAGCTGAAATTGAAACAACTAAAGAGAATCTGATTTAATTTTTTTTGTCTGCAATAGAATAAAAACGTGCCTCATCCCCAAATGATGGGGCCTCCATTCATGGTAGTTCCGTCTCCAACTGTTTTTGGGGCAGGCGGTCCATATGCACCAGTTAATGTTTATACGGCTCCTCCTTCAGCTGGAACGCAACCTGCTCCCGCAAGTACTTTACCACAGGCCGAAGAGGAGCTAAAGCAGGTCATTATTTTATATTATTAGCGATTCGACAAAAGAAGGATCAACACGTACTTTTAATAATGGTCCATTTCGGTGGCGCTCGAGGTCCTTTCTCTTCATAACCGTGGAATTAAAAACATCTATCTATATAAATTATCGTCTTCCTATTTCTTTATGCTTTATGTTTTACAGATTGCTGAAATGTTTCCAAACATCGACAAGGATGTGATAAAATCGGTCTACGATACCAAAGGTGGTCAACGAGCAACGACTATAAATGCGCTACTACAAATGAACGAATAATAATTATCCATTCCTCGTACATTTTTACTGTCATATTTTAAAACGTCATATTTGTACATTATCTGCTTAAGTGTCATTCAGTCAAGATGTAATATATTTGTAAATTATTAACATTTACCATCAGTCTATTTTATTCAATTTTAATCCTGGAACCTTACTATTAATATTTCTTTTAAACTAAATAATCAAAAAATACAATGTTCAATTGAAAGAAATTACTCATTTCGTATTTTTATGAATAATTAAATCGATCTGACTAATAAATAATAATAATTAAAATAATTAAACCATTTTACAAAATTAAATTTACTTAGTAACGATTTAATTTGCTTAGAATATTTTTAGAAATTCTTCAATAGTTCCCAAAGAGGTGGAGGAATAAGGAAATAACACAAAAAATAAATTGAATTTTACTTATGATTGTATTAAATTTATTAGAATCCAAAATTTAACAGAAATTCTGTTCAAAAACATCTGATTTGTCGCAGAATTGAATATATTCTTTAAAGGTGCAAATACAAAAAAAACAATATTGATTAAAAGTGAGACTAAAATCAATTTTCAAATTAAAAAATTACAATTTTAACAGCCTGTTCATCTGTTTATTATTTTTGTATAGAAAATTGGATAGTAAACAATGTTCTGATGCGTTGGATATTACTTTATTAAGGTGATCAACAAAAGTACGAAATTTTTTACTGTTTTCCGAATTAATAAATGACAATAATTTTCTTCAATTTTTCTGGAATCTGACAGAAGACAATGTTAAGGTAAGAAATTTAGAAAAAAATAAATATGTAATGTTAGAGATAACACAATTCTCGTCGATAGTGTATTTTGCTTAATTTTTTTAATTCGTTCTATTTTATTATTTTACAATTTTACAGCATTGCTTTCCAAATAAATTACATTTACGCCAAATGCCACTCATTATTTCCACAATAAAAGCTAACATTGCGACGGAGTATCCGATAATCAGCACGTAAAAGACAATCAGGAGTAATTTTTCCTTGCTGTTTTCTTCTGTAGTCGAAAGACTTTTTCGCTGTTTATTTTTTTTGTACAGATAAGGCAGTAGTAAACCGTGTTCCGATGCTTTGAGTACTACTTCATTAAAGCGATCAAGAAAAGGAGATCCGTCTCTTGCTACCCAGCTCGAAATAAAAAAAGTAACAGGTTCCTGCAGTATTCTGCCACTGTATTCTGAATGCATCTTGAATTTGTTTACAATTTCTTCAGTTGTAATACAAGTTACATTTGCAAATTTCGTTAAGTAAGCCAAACATTCGAAATCTGTATTCACAATAGAGTCATTAGCTGCCTTAGCGCCTAGTTTTCGAATGTAATAAATAGGACTTTCAAGCATTGACTTTATTGATAAAGGAGATCCTAACGGCGTTAGAGACGAGTTGGCAAGTTCTTCGAGATTTGAAATTTGAGGCTCGGCTTGCAAAGAGAGGTCCAAGATCACTGAATAGAAATAACTTGAGTAGACAATGCAACTCAACATGAATATACCAAAAACTATTCTCTCCGCTATCTTCCCAGGTTCTCTGGTGACCGACAAGCCCATTATAATTCGACTGATGTTGAACAATTGCCAAGTTGTCCTGTTGAATTTTAAAATCCAAGCTGCGATTCGGAGAGTTGCAATTAAAACCGTGGTTGCAAGTAACATAAACATGAATTCCTTTGAAATCACGATTAATTTAGTAAACTTTGAAATTGCTGGTATTACAGCTTTTGGATTTTCAAAATCAACAATGCGTAACAGTGGCTTTTTTGAAGAAAGACTTTCTGAAGTTCGAAAGTTCATAAGATTTAAAAACATTTCTACTTTGTAGTTGTAGATGATCTTAAGAAATGATTTCATGTTCAAAATTGCAATTTCTTGAATCCTAACAGAACAGTGCATTGTTTTTGAAAATATGTTTACAAATCGAACATAGGATTTACGCTCCAATAAGTTGTCATCTTTCAGAAAACCAAGACCGAATCTTACTTTATATCCATGAAGGTTTAGAAGTTTGTTTGGAAACCATTTGGTCTGGGTTGATACTTTATTAGCGTTGTAAGTTTTCGCAAAAAGATTGATTTCATGCAAGATAGGCAGTCTGCCTGCTCCCAATTCCAAGGATGTTTCGTTTTCTGTTAAATGCTCCAAAACTGCAATGTCTAGAAAATCTTGAAACCAAAAATATTCTAGAATTGGCTTTATCGATTGAGATTCTTTTTGAGAAATGATGTTAATCAAACATTTTGGATACGAATGTCCCTGCGACAATAGTTTCAGTTGCATAAGTGCTAGAAGCACTTTAGCCCAAGCGTCACCTTGATCGACATTGAGAATCATAATGAAAAACGTCGTTCGTCTTGGTGGTCGTGCAGAGGGTGGAAAGTGTTTGTGTAAACTTTCGTTCAGTGTAGAGAAACTAGTACTGAACGATGGAAAATGGTGAGAAACATCTCTGATCAGAAGGTCGGCGCTTGAACTTGAATTTCGTGGTAAGTGATCATCAATGATAAACATTACCTGGTGTAGTCTCGACTCCCTTCTTAGGAACTTTATTAATCCCCGAGTATAACTGCTACCGGCTAACACTCCAAGAATGACCACACCAAAAAATGTTAAACAGCAACTACTATTTATACACTTCATCGTTTTACGTTTACCTAACTGTAACCAAAAAAAATTTTCTTTCACGTTATTCGAATGTCGTTTATCCCAATAGAGTATTGAAATGTTCCTAAAACTTGACTCTAGTGTAGGCTTAGTAAACTCTGTTTAAGTAAACTGTTAACAAAAGGATCGTTCTAAAGTGTAATTTGAAAAGCGAAGTAATTATCACTGTTAGATGTAACTGTAGATTAGAAAAAGAATTTTATTTATTTGACTTTTACGATTGAAAAGTGGTATATAATTGTGTAGGTTTTGTTTCTTTAGTATCTCTCTTGGTTACTATCATACTGAAAAATAAAAATTAACCTTTTGACCTTTTTTTTAAGCATGTGGGTTACCGTTAACATGTTTTGTCTCAAATAAATTTTTTTTTTTTTTTGATTGTCTATAAAGAATATTGTGACCTAAATGAAACCGTTTATGATCCAATATTCGTCATAAAGTTATAGCATTTTATTTTCTAGTTTGCAGATAATTCCATAAGAATCCCTTGCTGAGTTCCTATTGTTGAACAAGATTCTTTAAACCTTTATTAGTACCTCTCATGAAAATGAAAATCGATAATTCTGTTTTTCAGAATTTGGGCAAGTCAATACAATGGAGAAGTTACAAACAAATTTTAAAATTACCCCACTGTGATATAGGGATTTTTAATTTTTTAAATGTTAGCAATTTCAAGGCTTTTTTTTCGTAAACTACTGACGCGACGCTAGCAAAAACAGACTTTATTTTCATTTTATATAAAAAAACGGTTGGTATATATGGTTGTGAACAACAATAAAATATTGTAAATCATAAATAAATTTCAAAATACATTTAAACCTCAATCGTCCAAACCGAGACCGTTGCCAGCTTTTAAAATTCTCTTTCTAACATTACAAATGCAAAAATGTTCGATTTCAAAAGTTATTTTTACAAAATATTAATTCTAAAGTTCATGGAAATTTTTTTCTTTCGTTAGAAGGGAGATAGTAATTATTATTTATGGTGAACCACTTCAGAAGCAAGCGCAATTATGCTTGTAAATGAATACTATACTTATACACTATTAAAACATAAAAGATTTTTATATTATCGCTATTAAATGTTTGTTTCTGTTTTCTAGAAAGATAGTTACCTAGCAGAAGATTACAAAAATATGTAAACTAGCAATTTCCAGTCGTAAAAGGCATATATTTAATATTTTTTAGCAATTTACAAAGGGCTTTCTCTAATCTTCATTTACATTTTGTACTACAAATTTCTAACGTTTCTAAAATTCAACTTCATAACACATTTTGCCATGAACTTACTCAAACCTTAGCTAAAATAGAAGATTCAAACGGGAAATCGAATAAATTATATTTAAATACCGAAAAATAAATACGCGTTTAGTAATTGCCAGGTGAAAAATAATAATGAAGTGTATAACCCTTGGTTTCTGTTTAACATTATTCGGTGTGGTCATGTTTGGAGTGGCAGGCGACGGCAATTATACTCGAGGATTAATAAAGTACCTAAGAAGGAAGTCGAGTCTACATCAGGTAATGTTTATCATTGATGATCACTTACCACAAAATTCAAGTTCAAGCGCCGACCTTCTGATCAGAGATGTTTCTCGACATTTTCCATCGTTCAGTACTAGTTTCACTAGATTGAACGAAAGTCTACACAAACACTTTCCACCTTCTGCACGACCACCAAGACGAACGACGTTATTCATTATGATTCTCAATGGCGATCAAGGTGGCGCTTGGGGTAAAACGTTTCTAGCACTTATTCAACTGAAACTATTGTCGCAGGGACATTCGTATCCAAAATGTTTGATTAACATCATTTCTCAAAAAGAATCTCAATCGATAAAGCCAATTCTAGAATATTTTTGGTCCCATGATTTTCTAGACATTGCAGTTTTGGAGCACTTGACAGAAAACAAAACATTCTTGGCATTAGGAGCAGGTAGACTGCCTATTTTGCATAAAATCAATCTTTTTGCGAAAACTTACAAAGCTAATAAAGTATCAACCAAGACCAAATGGTTTCCAAACAAACTTCTTAACCTCCATGGACATCAAATAAAATTCGGTTTTAGTTTTCAGAAAGATGACAGCTTATTGAAACATAAATCCCATTTTCGATTTGTGAACATATTTTCAAAAACAATGCACTGTTCTGTTAGGATTCAAGAAATTGCATTTTTGAACAAGGATATATTTTTTAAGATCATCTACCGTAACAAAGTAGAAATGTTTTTAAATCTTATAATCAGTCAAACTTCAGGAAGTCTTTATTCAAAAAATCCACTAATACGTATTGTGGATTTTTCAATTGCAAAGGCTGTGATCCCTGTAACTTCAAAGCTCACTAAAGTAATCGTGATTTCAAAGGAATTCATGTTCATGTTACTTGCAACCACGGTTGTAGTTGTAACTATTGGAATCACGGCTTGGATTTTAAA